CTAACTAGATGCAATGCAAAAATTCTTTGCAATCTTAATGCAATACAATAAAATCGCCGCGTCTATTCGTCGTCGTTATTGTTTTCAAAAATGTTGTTGGACGCGCCGTATCGCGTTCGTAAGAGTTGTAATAATTTGTGGTTGCTTTTGTTATTGTAGCCGTTGTCGAATTCAATTTCGACAAATGTCCTCGAAAGCGATTTTCACGTTTCTAAATTTTATCTTTGTTAAAAATTTCTCCTGGCAGGGTCGCCAATTTTAGGTATATTAAAAAATATTTAATTTTCGTTTTTTTAAGTTTAACAAATTTTCCAGGTTTTATTTTATTGAATATTGAAAACTGAATAAATGAATATAAAAATTTTCAACTCAAAATTGATCGTACATAAATAAATGTAACAAGATATTTTCATAATTCAAAGTATTTTAAGAACAAGTGTTTAACAAGTAATGTGTATCACTACAACTACATCGTCGAAATACGGTAAAACACAAGGAATATTCCGAAGGAGCACGTCAATAAAATTCTGAAAAATTCCCGGAGCTGACGAAATGCCAAATTGAAGACGGTTTACTTTAAATGCGCCTTTGTGTGTCACAACGGTTTGCAACATGGCAGAGTGTTCGTCAACGGCAAGTTGTTGGTACGCTTGTGCGAGATCGAATTTAGCAAAGATCTTTCCCCGTTCTATTGAAGAGATAAGCGAGCTTTTAGATGGAATTTGGAAATTGTGTGGCAACATGGCCTTATTTACGGTAGACTTGCAGTCACCACAAATTCTAATGGTTCCATCGCTTTTGAGAACTGGGACGATGGGCGTTGCCCAGTCAGAGTATTCGACAGGTTCAAAAATACCTTGAGCGCACAAACGATCGAGTTCAGTTTCAACAAGACTACGAATAGCTATTGGAATACGGCGTGCGGGAAGCCTAATGGGTTGGATGTTGTTTTTAACTTGTAAGGAAACTAGTTCCCCTCTGAATTTGCCAAGTTCTTTTGAAAAAAGATGCTCAAATTTGCCTAAAATGTGTTTGATTGCCAACACTCCCTGCACGCTTATGCCCAGCGCATCAAACCAATTACAACCCAGCACGTTGCTTTGGCTACCATTTACAATGATAAGTGGTAAGTCTTTGATTAGGCGTTTGTTGTACTCAATGTCAACATCTAACACACCTCTGATAAGTACACCATTATGTTGAAAATCCCTCAACTCAAGACCGCACTCGTATAGCAACGGCTTAACCCCCTGCCTTAATTGGTCGAATGTTTTAGAAGATACTATAGTATAATCTGAACCTAAATCCACTTCAAACTTACATGGTTTTTGGTTGATGTATATGGTGGTAGATTTCTTACGACTCCGTGAGATTAAAATCTGATTGATCGGCTGTGGTTTCGACTTACCACCTTGGTGTCGATTTTTGTCCGTAGCTTTCGTATGTTCCGCACCTGCATTGACTGGCCGGCAGTTCCCTTGCAAATGGCCCTTGACACCACATGCAGAACAGATTGTTTCCCTATGAGAGCACTGAGATCGAGCATTTGCACCATGTAGCATGTAGCCCGTTCTATGACCTTCTGCAGTTGGAGGTCAGACTCCGCGAGGAGGTTTCGTTTAAGGGATTCGTCGCGCAAACCGCACACCAAACAGTCACTCAGCATGCGATCTAAAGCACCGCCAAAATTGCAATCGACCGCAAGCTTTCTCAGGGCGGCTACATATTCCGCAAAGGTTTCATTTGGCATTTGATCGCGCTTGTGGAATTTGTAAAATTATGCAAATTCCGATGGACGAGGGGAAAAATGATTCGTTAATACTGCTTGAATTTCCGAAATTTGAAGGTCACTCACCTTCTTGGGGGGATGCCAATGACGACAGCAGGTTATAAAGCGGCGCACCGGCTAGTGTTAAAAAATCGCCCTTTGACGCTCAGCTGTCCGTATGTGATTGGCCTGAAGGAACAACTTGAACCTAGCGTAGTATGTGGACCAATTCTCCGGATGACTTATGTCAAAAGGCTCTAATGTTCCTACTGAAGTCATTGCAGAGTTCGATGGTAAATCCGAAATTCCTCTTGAACTGGATGCTGAGTCTTCCCTTGACAAATCTCGTTCCAAAGCAGCTTCTTCTTCCAGCTTAATTGGCATTGACACTCGATGCAACGAGGAATTGAATGATTGTGCGAATTCCCAGTACACGTACTTGACTTTGAATGTCAAAAGGTTGCCCGAAAATTAAGTCGTGTAGCGGTCAAAAGGGTCACCTTCACTGGCTGACTTGTAGCCGCTCTCAATATCTGCACGTAGTTTTTGTGTCGCTTGCCAAAGTCACGCGTTGTTGAAACAGAATTTTAATGTGATGGGGATAATCCCATCCTCGTCGCCATTAATAAATCCGTCAGATTTATGCAATTAACGTTTCAACTTAACTTAATGCAACTTTATTTTATATAATAGCAAATTACAAAATGTATTGATTTCAGCTTGATCCTGTCAAAAGATTAAAACTGCAAGTGCTGGTCCTCTCACAAGAATGCTGTCAGACAACTTTCAGTGTATGATNAAACAGTCACTCAGCATGCGATCTAAAGCACCGCCAAAATTGCAATCGACCGCAAGCTTTCTCAGGGCGGCTACATATTCCGCAAAGGTTTCATTTGGCATTTGATCGCGCTTGTGGAATTTGTAAAATTATGCAAATTCCGATGGACGAGGGGAAAAATGATTCGTTAATACTGCTTGAATTTCCGAAATTTGAAGGTCACTCACCTTCTTGGGGGGATGCCAATGACGACAGCAGGTTATAAAGCGGCGCACCGGCTAGTGTTAAAAAATCGCCCTTTGACGCTCAGCTGTCCGTATGTGATTGGCCTGAAGGAACAACTTGAACCTAGCGTAGTATGTGGACCAATTCTCCGGATGACTTATGTCAAAAGGCTCTAATGTTCCTACTGAAGTCATTGCAGAGTTCGATGGTAAATCCGAAATTCCTCTTGAACTGGATGCTGAGTCTTCCCTTGACAAATCTCGTTCCAAAGCAGCTTCTTCTTCCAGCTTAATTGGCATTGACACTCGATGCAACGAGGAATTGAATGATTGTGCGAATTCCCAGTACACGTACTTGACTTTGAATGTCAAAAGGTTGCCCGAAAATTAAGTCGTGTAGCGGTCAAAAGGGTCACCTTCACTGGCTGACTTGTAGCCGCTCTCAATATCTGCACGTAGTTTTTGTGTCGCTTGCCAAAGTCACGCGTTGTTGAAACAGAATTTTAATGTGATGGGGATAATCCCATCCTCGTCGCCATTAATAAATCCGTCAGATTTATGCAATTAACGTTTCAACTTAACTTAATGCAACTTTATTTTATATAATAGCAAATTACAAAATGTATTGATTTCAGCTTGATCCTGTCAAAAGATTAAAACTGCAAGTGCTGGTCCTCTCACAAGAATGCTGTCAGACAACTTTCAGTGTATGATGTTGTAGGTGTGCGAATAACGTGGGAAGACAGACTAGCAGAAATCGTACAACAATGCCAAACAGGGTGCTTAATATTTGACACCGTTCATATTATTTGTCACAATCATATGACTGTAAGTATACCCAGCGGACCAAATGCTTGCAAATGATACCAGTTGCGAGTGAAATGTGAGAATTAATCCAAACAAACTCTCACTAAAGGCTCGTTGTTGTTGTTGTAGCGGCTACAACAACCCCGCCCGGGTCGGTTAATATCTTAGTCGTTGTCGTCAAGTTCCACTAACGGCAGCCCTAAGAAGCGTGCAGCCTCCATAGGGTCGGTCCACAGGGACAAAGGCGTTAGGGTTGTTGGGTTTTCCGGGCATGCGAAGAGATGTTTCGAGTCGTGAGGGGTCTCTGCGCATGCCGGACACTCATTTGGCACATCCGCGTTTAGTCTGCTCAGGTATGAGTTTAACCTGCTGCAGTAGACAGAGCGTTGGGCTATTGTGGTTCTTGTCTCCCGAGGCAGATGAAGCTCCGTCTCGTCAATGTCCGGTGGTTGCGTGCCTAGAACGGCATTGACAGGTCTGGAGTCTACATAACTCGAGACTGACTCCCTGTGAGTGCCGTTCAGGGCCTCTCGGTATGCTGACTGGTTCAGAGGTTGCTTAATGAACCTCTGGACTTCGTCCGTCAGTAGAGATGCCTCCTGACGTGCCTAGGCGAGGGCTCCTCTGCAAGCAGCTGTCTGTTTGGGCGCCCACGTCTCTGGCTCCCAACCAAAAACTGCTTGCAGAGCATTATGTTATGCTCCTTGACTGGGAGCATTTTCGCCTCGCCATGCAGGTGGTGTTCTGGCGACATCAGAAGGCATCCAGTCGCTGTCCTAAGTACGGTGTTTTGAGTCGTCTGTAGCTTCATCCAATGCATCCTACTAGTCCCCGGCGACCACACTGGTGCTGCGTAATTTAAAACCGGCCGGCCTATTGCCTTGTATGTTGCCAGCAACGTTTCTTTGTCTTTGTCCCAAGTACTGCCGGCTAGCGACTTGAGGACCTTGTTGTGGCTCTGTACTTTATTGGCAATAGCGGTTGCGTGCGCAGAGAAGGAGAATAGACTGTCGAATGTTACTCCGAGTATTTTGGGGTTATTCACCGTCGGAATTGGTGTATCATCGACGTGAATTCCCAGCGGCCGCCTGACCTCCTACGTCCAGGTGGTGAACAAGGTCGCAGAGGATTTCGTAGGGGAGAGGGCTAGGCTCTTTGCAGTGAAGAAGCGAGAAAGCTCGGAGAGATACCCGTTTACTTTCGAACACAAGTCATCAATTCCATTCCTAGTCGCCATAATCGAGCAATCGTCGGCGAAAGAGACAATCGAGACTCCCCCTGGTGGTTGAGGGAGCTTTGAAATATAAAAGTTAAACAGTAGCGGGGAAAGGACACCGCCCTTTTGAACCACCTGTTTTATTTTTCTGAGTTTGCTCGATTTGTCTCTAAACATTACCGACGAGTGTCGACCACTCAGATAATTTGCCGACCACCGTTTGAGCCTCTGTGGGAGAGGAAGCCTCTATATCTTCTAGGAGCGTGGAATGGCTGACAGTATCAAACGCCTTTGACAGGTCCAACGCTACTAGAATCGTTCTCTCACAGGGACGGTTACGGTTAAGGCCACGAGTTATCTGAGTGTTTATGGCGTTAAGTGCTGTTGTTGTACTGTGCACTTTACGGAAACCATGCTGATGCTTCGCTGGGGTCAGGTTGATCGTGAAATACGGGAGCAGCAAGGCCTCAAGTGTCTTCGCTACAGGGGAAAGGAGAGTTGTCGGACGATACGAATCTCCTTTGTTGGCTGGTTTCCCCGGTTTGAGCAGTCTGGGATGATGAGAGTGGCCATTGACATATTGAGGACCTCCGTTAGGTACGCTACTCCCGCAGGACCCAAATTTTTCAGCATCAGCATGCATATTCCGTCGGGACCCATGGCTTTGGAGGCTTTCGCCTTCCCGATAGCCACCTGAACTTCACCGCAAGTGAAAGCAAGGGGGCACAAGTTGTTGGCAGTTTGTGCAGCCTTCTGGTCACTCGACGCTTGGCTTTGTCCGCCGGAGGATGCAGTATGCACTGCCTGCTAAAATAGTTCGCGCATCGCTCCGGGTCCGACGAAGCATGGTCGCCGAAAGAAATTTCGACCCTGTCGTCATGCTTCGTCGGTTGACCAAAGCTTCAAGGTTGACCAAAGCTTACTCACACCAGAGGTGAAGTTACAGGTCTTCAGATGCTCTTCCCACTTGTTCCCCTTATGTACGTTCACTAGTTGCCGAATCTCCGCGTTGAGATCCCTGATACGGGGATCTCCGGGATCGGCCTGGCGAAGGCTGTCACGCTCATCGGCTAGAACAGCCGCTTCAGCAGGGAAATTTGGACGTGGGTCCGTTATGCATCCTGGCGGTACGAAGCGAGCTGCAGCAGCGGTGACAGCCCCGCTGGTGTGGGGAGCGCAGTGAAGGTGTTTTCTGCTTTAGAAAAGTTGATATACGTGCGGTGTTCCGCGGAAGCAAAGTCGGTTGGTTTATCGATCGAGATGTGTGTTGCACCGCTGTATATGTACATATGCGAATCAAAACCTTTATATAAATTTGGGCTGGGCGATGACATTACATGTATAATTAAGTGCATCTTCGATTACGATTACTTTAATCCCAGTTTCAAAATATTTTGAATTAGGATTGAAATAGTCATAAATCGAAGGAGTATTAGATTAAAATTATATTAAGAAAAATTAGTAGCACATATCAATTAAAAATTACTTTTTACGCAATCCTGGGCGATCAAAGCACTGGTGGTGTTACATGAAATACAACCTTTGAAACTTTATTAACTAATTGTTTATACCGACACATAAAGCGCTTTGACCCAGTTCGCTGTGATTCAAAGCGGATGCATAAACCAAATTTCAATACGCTCTGAATTTCAAAAGTGTATTGACTCGAATTTGATCTCAAATCGGTTTTTTATTTCTCAAATCGGTTAGAAAACATAGAAGAAATTGACGAAAAAGTCGAACCGGACTTGCTGTATAATAATAGTTGCACGGATAAAATAATAAGTGTTTACAATAACATATGTTTGGTTGACTGTACATCTCAGAATCTAAATTATTTTTTTAAACCGTCAGATTAAGAAATCCCTTCCAGATAATCGTCACATTATGGAACAGGACGACAAGGGCATCGAGATGAACGTTCTGTATGAAAATCTGACGCGCTCGAGCAAATCCAAATGGCGATTTTTTTTTGCATCTTCAAGAAGACGCACAGTGTAGTGCGGCCGAATACCAAAAGTGCGGTCATAATTCGAGAAAATCTAGTTTCTAGACAGGCCTTTTCTGACATTGAGTTTGCTAAAAGGATCATGTACGAAGCGAAAACTGTTCACTGTAAAGACCTGCACCCTAAGCCCTGCTTTTATATTCATTTCTAGTGAGACCTTCTGCCAAGCACAACATTTTTGTAATAAAAAGCGAAAAGTTATTAACGTATAAAAGTAGTTAGAGCATAGGAAACCAAACAAAACCAAATGGATTCTACGTCTGAAGGTTAGTAAAATATGTTACAAAACTTGTGAAAAGAAATACTGTAACAGAAATTTTTAGGAAATAAAAATGTATAGGTATTTTTTCGTTTATTTAAAAAAAAATTGAGTTATTAAATGCAACAGTAACACATCTCTGCCTCTTATATATATTTTTTTAACACGCTTATACAAATTAGTTTCACCTGTATGTAAAAATGTCCAGCTTTTTAATTAGATTTCACAGATAGATTTTGACTATGCAGTTTTGTAGCCCATTCAACTTAAGTATAACAAAGTCACGCTTAAAGTAGCTGGGACTTACGGTTGATTTTAGAATTTTTTTTTGTTGAAGGTGTTGCTCAGTTTCTTCATATCATCGAATAAACTTCGTATGGAAGAAAACGACTGGCACCGTCAACAAAAAAAATTGTCACAAATCAACGGTAAGTCCTAGCTGCTTCAAACTTGGACTTTGTTACACTAAAATTTAATGGGCTATAAAACTGCATACTAAAAATCTTTCTAAGAAATCCAATTAAAAAGCTCGAAATTTACCAGCCCCATACTGGATCCGCCATTTTGAATTTTGCAATTCTGACAGCGGATTAGTAATTAGTGACCCCGAAAACCCCCTGGTACGAAATTTCGAATCATTATATCAAAACTTCGAATTTTGGCCGCACTTTTGGATTTCGGCCGCACTGTGAGACGCCACGAGCTTGCGTCATATCTGAATCGTCAGATTATTGAATGGGAGGTTCATTCGGGCCCATTTAACATCTTTTGTGAATATCTGACGCGCTCGGGTAAATTTTTTTGTCCCCCATTTTTGACCCTTCCGTACGCCAAACCCCACCATGCAAACCGGCAGATTAGCATATTTCCGTCATCAGAAACACGTTTGATTTATTCACTATGAATATCTGACGCGCTCCAGTGAATCTATGTTACTGTTTTTTTACATTTTTGGAAGCCTGTAGATCCTCTACCCACCGCTGGATGGAAAAACATCACAGGACCTTTCTTACTTCCCATCATATCATCTTAAAATTCTATAGGTCAAGATGACGCTCGAGTAAATCCCGATTTAGCATCGTGGGCTCCCCGACTATAACCTTTCTGATATTTACCTGTATGGAAAGTATAGGAGCTAAAAGATCGGACATGCCCTGTACATAGCCCAAATCGAAGTTGTACATAACGTAGGTCATAAGTATGCCATGTAGCACCGTCAAATTAGGATTATCTTCACCAGCGAAAAATTGTAGTGAACGATCAGTCCGTTTTACATCTTTCTCGATTTGGCATTTACGATCACGAAAACCACTAAAATTTTCTTCCTGCGTAGTTGTCATTGATAACCATTGTGCTTTCATTTTGTAATACTCCTTATACTTGTTTTTATGGTGTTGAATACGCTCGACTTCAGAATCATTCCACCGATAATAGTTCAAGAGGTACTTCCACACTTCAGCACGTAAATTGTAGTGAATGCCTCCGTGGAATATAATTTCCTTAACGCGAGAAGTATCTCTTATGCCGCCATCTGCCGATTGAAACTCTAACCATTGCGATTCATTTAAAGGCTTACCTTTAAGAGATACAAATAACTAGGTAAAACTCAATTGACTTTATGTACAAATAATTACTTCTCTGTGCACAAGGCCGCTCTGGCAAAGTATTAACAATCTTCTCATCCACTTCTTTCAAATTTTCAAGTTCGGCTTCCACCGGTGATTGATCTTCACTACTGCTGCCGCTGTATTTTGCAGCATTTCGAGTTGTTGGTTGTTGACGCATTGAATAATTTCTCGGTGAACTTCCCTTGACACCCGATGCTAAGTCGGGTAAGTTTACAAGCAGACCTGACCAAGTATTTTTCACCCAGCCTTTTTCTTTCTTCGATTCCATATTCTTCATGTCATCGATGTTTAGCTCAGCGAATGTGCGTTTCAGTTTTTGTGTCTCCATATTGAGAACAATGTACTCTGTGCATCCATCTTGGGTAAATGAGTATTCAATAATGTGTAGGTCACACATAGACTTTACAAACTGATCAGCATTACCGTGTTGGAAAAAGAATTCACTGTGTACGCTATAATCGCATTTATGTATGAAACATAACACTTGTCCGCGATGTTTTACTAAAATAGCACCGAGTTCATCCAGTTGATTGCGTATTAAACGAGGACTTTTGACTGTAGTAGTTTCCGTTGTGGGCTTGATATTGAATGCTTTACATTCAGAAATGGTGCGCGAACGTCGTGGTATTGTGTCAACGACTGCCCAATCCTGGCTATCATCAGCAATAAGTATGTTATCGTTGGGCCGCCACTCAATGAAGAGACGATGTGGTGTGTCATAACCGATGATTGACAGTGAACCGCTTGTATTTAGGTAGGTTATATGCTCCACACTGGCCTTTCGGAGCAGAACGCCATCATGAGTGCACATTATCTGTAATTAATGGCATGGTTGTTAATGGCATACAAATATATTATATCTTTATTATTATTGCGTAATATTATTTATTCTAAGACCGCGGCGTCGAAATGAGCGGCTGTGCGGTGAACGTCTGAAGTTTAAAACAATACTATTAAAGTGGCCACACAATGAGCGGAAAATTTTTCCAAAACGGTTCGAGGCTTTGAAAAAAACCATATATTAGGGTGGTAGAGGGAGTTCAAAGAGGGGAGAGATGGGATCAAACACTCCCATCACGATTTTAAGGCCAATGTGCAAAAAGTTATGAAAACAAATGTATACATGTGATTGTTTATCTTCTTTCAACTTATGTCCTTATTTAATGGTCTCTTTTTAACCAACGCAAAATTTGCAAATGTGTTAGTAAGAGAAATGAGAATGTGTTAGTTTCCATCACCCAATTCTTGTAGGGTTTTAAGCAATTTGCATTAGTTGCGTTCCGATTTGCAGGTTTTTACAGGAAGTCGTTCCAGGTGACAACCTTCCATAAGGTTTATTAATGGAGAAAACAGCTGTTCCTGCAAATCGTGAATATCGTGAAGCATCTGGAACGCAACTATTTAAAGTTGCAAAAAATACTAAATTCAATTGGGCTGTTCACAGTTCGTTCCAANCATAAGGTTTATTAATGGAGAAAACAGCTGTTCCTGCAAATTGTGAATATCGTGAAGCATCTGGAACGCAACTATTTAAAGTTGCAAAAAATACTAAATTCAATTGGGCTGTTCACAGTTCGTTCCAAATAGTTGGGCTGTTAACAGTTCGTTCCAAATAGTGTCTCAAACAGTGTTGCCGCGCCGTCTCAAGAAAATGTATCCCTGACCAAGCCAAAAATGTATCCAAATGTATCCAATTTTCTTTTTTTACATATACATCTCATAATTTGTAAGAAAACCAAACATTTTCATGAAAAAGACATAATTTGACCCATCCTAAGGACTTGGAGTACATGTGCATAAAATCAAACATTTGTAATTTCAATTTATAAAGTACATTTTTTGTGCATAAGTATTTTGCAAAGTAAATATAATAAATAGCAAGTACACTCTAAAAAGAGCATGTAAAACTACTACGGAAAAGTATCTATTTTTCAACAAGAATCTGTATAAATATACGTATAGGATGTTCAGTATTTGATTTTGAACTTGAGATATTTAAAATATACACATATATAGAATGTTTAAAATTGCAAAAAATTTGTATATCCTACTAATAATAAACATAGCTTTATTTTAAACATTTTATGTGTAATTTTGCTCTTGCGACAAATTCGTTATGTAAATGTAAACAGGCAATGATTAATTTTATTACACGGCGTACTGGTTACCTCTCTCAATATGCGCAAATAAACAAAATTTTTTTTTCAGTAAAATTCATAAAAGTTTCTTTAAATAAATCCAATTTAAACTACAACGAAATCTTCTTTCTTTTTAAATTAACAAATGAAAATATGTGATATAAAAGAGATTACTTCAGAAAGAGTATAATTTACTTTATATATATCGTCATTTAAAGTACAAAACCGCGCATCGTCATTCTGCAAAACCGCGTAACTGACATTTGCTGTCAAAAATTGGATTTGCTCACACAAGCTCTTGGCTCAATCCTTATCCATTCGTNTACTAAATTCAATTGGGCTGTTCACAGTTCGTTCCAAATAGTTGGGCTGTTAACAGTTCGTTCCAAATAGTGTCTCAAACAGTGTTGCCGCGCCGTCTCAAGAAAATGTATCCCTGACCAAGCCAAAAATGTATCCAAATGTATCCAATTTTCTTTTTTTACATATACATCTCATAATTTGTAAGAAAACCAAACATTTTCATGAAAAAGACATAATTTAACCCATCCTAAGGACTTGGAGTACATGTGCATAAAATCAAACATTTGAAATTTCAATTTATAAAGTACATTTTTTGTGTATAAGTATTTTGCAAAGTAAATATAATAAATAGCAAGTACACTCTAAAAAGAGCATGTAAAACTACTACTGAAAAGTATCTATTTTTCAACAAGAATCTGTATAAATATACGTATA